ACAGGAGCCCTAGGGATTATAACCCTAAACCCTAAAGGCTTTAGAAGTTCAGTTCTCCACCATGGCGGTCGTGGACGCAGTCCTTTCGTACCATCGGATGAGGTCCGTCGGAGCCGATCTCCGGAGACCCGGCTCGTCCAGCGGTGCTTTTCAATTCGTTCCAGACCGCGGCGAGAAGCGGAGAAATCGGCGAGACTCCAGCCTCCAGCCTTGCCCTGGAAGGAATTCCTCTTTTTGGAGTTGATTTTGTGAGGTCGAGCAGGTGTCCCTTAACTTAGAGCCGCTTCAGGTCGAATTTAACATAATTAACTTCCTTGAAATGTCTTGCTCTGACAGTCAGATCCTTGTTTTTGTCGGTGAGGAACGGGAAGCTTTGCCAACCAATCAAAATCAATCAAAGCAGTTGTCCATGCTCACGCTTCTTTGATTTGTGCGGCTTTCAGCTCGAAACTGCGGACGGAGAGCTGAACGGTTTTCGTGCATGGCTCTTGTGCATGTTCAAGCTGCCGTGCATTGTTTGTTCGGTGACCCCGCCTTTGGCCCAGAGGATGTCCAAAGGGCCAACATCTTCAAGAGCGACAGAGCCTCTCTCAGACAAGCACGAGTGATCCAGACACTCCCAAGACTCAAGACACAGATGCTTTCCAGTGACATGGTGTGCCGTTGCGTGTGCCATGGGGTTTGATTCTGATTGCAGAGCACCTTCGAATTGTGAAGTGGTCCTGTGCCATCAATGACGAAAAGTCTGCTTTCGTCAGATGCAGACCATGTTGTCCATCTCAAGAGCTGTCAGACAGTCGAACACCTGCGCTGGCAGGTGAAGTTGTACCAATACTAGTGCGTTGTGGGTGCCAAACCTTGCATGACCCTAGTGTGGCAGCGAGTCAGCTGCCTAAGCGCCGCAGCTGCGCAGGGGCTGCGCAAAGTGGAAGCTGGTCGCACAACCGATTGAGCAGTTTGTCTACGTGTGGATCGGAGTGGTGCGGTTGGCCCTGGGCTGTTTACAGATATTGAAGAGAGTCTCCGGTGCCGCACAGGGCCCGTGCCTTTGCTTTCAGATAGTCTCTCTACCGCTAGATGTTCACAGTGCTTTGTCCAAGAGTGATCCTTTGTGTGCACTACCATCACGGGGCCGATAAAGGTGCACCCTTTGTCGTCACCAAGGGCACCCAGCAAAAACCCTTATATTATATTCCCGCAGGTTACGGGGAGCTTTGCTCGAAACCGGCCTTGGGGCGAAACATTTCGGGAAGAGACACTTCCCTATCCTGCAGTGGGCTTAGAGTTTAACAACATCGTTGCGCCGAATTGCATCTTGCCTTGCGGAATGGAGAGGCGACTGAAGGCGTGCTTAAGATTCTTGGGTGAAGCGGACAGCCACATTGCGCGTTGGTCTTCTTTCTACACCAGCTCCCCAACCTCAAAAAACACGCTTGCCTCTGGCCATGCAGTACACACACACACCTGTCAAGAGGATCGGCATTCACTTCCACGAGTGGCCAGCTATCCAAGGAACCATCAGCCAGCAAACATTAATTCCAGGCTCCTCTGAGGCAGGTGAGGGCGAATAGGACTCAGGAAGACTCAGACAAGCGTTTGAGCAGGCGACGTCTCAAAAATTCATGCAAACACTACTTCACTGAAGAAATGCCTGGATTGCATCTGCACATGATGCTGCATAATGAGTAACTGTTCAACCCTATGCCGAGGTGCTGGCCCAAGCTGCGCTTGCTCTTGTGTGTTTTGATCAGTTGCTGAAAAGAAGCGACGAGGACGATGTTTGCTGGATCTATCTCTATCCAAAGACCTCACTCATGAGACACGGATTTGGCAGTTTATCCCAAAGCTTCGTCCCAACTAGAGTCCTCAGTTCAGTAGCACGGTGTGCCAAAGGTGATGTTCAGCGAGGTTGAATAATAACCACCACGGTCGAGAGTTTCAAGGCTGATAGCTGGGTGAAGAGGACAGGGGGTCCAGATGGCCATTGGTTGCATGGGTTGGCTGGTGGACATGGAGAGAGAAAGAGAGGGAGAGAGAGAGAGAGAGACACACAATTGTATTGTTTGTTTTTGTCAGTCCTCAATTTCTCACTACTGTTCATTTGAAGGCCAAAGTTATTTGGCGCCAGGGGCAAGGCTGACCTGTGTGCTTGAAGGTGTTCATAGGTGCAAACTTGATCAGTTTTAGCCAAAGCATCTGACAGTAGCTTCAACAGCTCCAAACAGTTGCAGACCCCTTTTGTGCGTTGACCTGTTTGATCAGTGTAGACCCGACGTTTTTGTTGAACATTTTTTGCACATTAAAGTTGAATGGGCCGGCGTTTGAGGACATGTTATCAGTTGAATTGCGAAGCCTTTTCCAAAGTCGTCGTCGACTGCTTGAAACATCTGAAGACGAATTTGTCACTTCAATCGCTTAAATCTTTAATGGGCAGGTTTTTCACCCTGCACTCACATTCATTCCGCGACCGGTGACCGATAAGACCTGAAGTGAACATTGAACTGGATGATCGGCTCTATATTTGCCAAGGTTAGTGTGGATCGTCCTGCCATTGGGATTGTATGTTTGCCAGGTGATGAAAAACAATTGCGGTCAGTGTATTAGTGTGCTATACATGTGATCAACAAAGCCGCACCTTCGTTTGGTGTCCAAATAATACATAAGGGTTGTCCATGGGTGACAGTGACACCGAAAGGAAACAGATATAAACATATGTAAAAATGATGGAAAATTATTGATTCTATTGATGTTTGTATATATATATACGATATATAAATGTTCAGGATTTTTATACACATGGATTCACCTGTTTTTTGCACCGAACAGCTGCAGCAAATGCCAACACCCGCACTGGCTGCTTGCACAGATTTCGCGCGCCTCAACAGAGGGGAATCGAAGACGGTCTCTTCTTGGGCGCAAACCCAGCAGTGGAGTGGTGTCGGATTGGCCGAATTCGGCTATCCTATAGGAGAACAAATCGAAGGGGACCTCAGATAGCAAAAAATGTGTGGAACCTCCCTACCGAAATACTCGTCTTAGTATTATTGTCTTAATGTTTTCCTATAGCGGAAATCGGGTGGAGAGATTCCCAGTCTTCGTTCAAACTTGTTCAAACAAAATTGAATCCCATCCGGGACTCGCAGCCCAGAAGAAAGGGACACAACCTCACAACAAAACAGATCAATTCTGATTCTGGGTTTGGGACCTCTCAGAGTGGCGCATTCTTGTACATCTCCTTGGGGGGGAGCTGGATTTTAAATGACTATTTGCCCAGAATGATTGTTTTGCATTTGGGTCAAATGGAGTTGGCGTTGATACCTGGAGCCTTGCTGGCGATCCCTGGAGCGTCCTATCGCATCAGGACGACCGAATTCGGTGTCCTGTCGTCGTATTCTGCACTCTTCGGTCGTACCCCCCCAAGACTTCGGTCGACACCCAGATGCCCCAAGTACCAATTCCTTTGGTCCACCTAGGGATCCACTGCGTCCAAATCAAACACATCCCCATACCTCAGAGGATCTCAGAGGGCGTGTGGATTTCGACAAAAAAGCCCTATAGGGATCGTACGTCGTACCGAACCTCAGGTTTCGGTACCTGGACCCGACCAGGGCACCCAGTCCGAACCTGAGGAGAAGGCACTTTCTTGGATCCCTATTGTATAGGCTAACCATGTGTGTGGCTTCCGAACCAAACCCCAAACATCGCAGCATCGCAGCATGTCACTGACCTCGCAGCACCAGACATTCCCTGCCCCGGGCGTTCGCGCTCGATTTGATCTCCCGAATTCGACGTGGATGGCGTCGTCCACGCGGACTGCGTGCACCCGGACTGCTTCGGTTGAGGGGAGCCGCCAGAACAGGGAACGAAGGATGGCGCCAGCGTCGAGTGAGGATATACCCCTTTTGGATATAGCTGTGGGTACCCAGCTGGAACCCGAACAGTCCACCTGGAATGCTTTAGCGAGCGAGTATAGGTTAATCGTGGGTTTTTGAGACATACCATGTAATCTCTACGCCTCCAGTCGTACCTTCTGAGGTTCGGTGGGACTGGGGTGGGTGCCAGGAGGGTCCAAATACCTTCTCAGAAGGTACTTGGAGGTGTAGGGTCATATAGTTTTGGTCTATAATAGGCAGATGTTCAACGCAGGAGCTTGTTCGTCCAATTGGTCAATGGCTTCTAAGCCTCACTTTGCACCATGGTGCTCGCGGAGTTCTCCACAGGGTCCAGGTACCTCCTGAGCATGGTCTTTGAGGTGAATAGAACTTGCTGCCAAATGCTCCTGAAGCCTTTGTGTGTGGATCAAAGGCTACAGGTGGGCTGGTTTGTCCCCTCTAGGAAGGTTAGAGCAGACCCGCCCGAATCCCCTACAGGCCTAGCGAACCGAAAGGACTGGAGCCCTTTTGACAGGTTCAGATGTAACAAGAGGACGGATCCACGTCATGGCAAGAAAGAAAAACAACAGCTGTTTGGTTCCAGGCAAGCGCAGGCAGGGCGCAGCAAGCGGAAGGTCTTTTCTCAAGTCACTTGCATCATTGCTGCCGCCGAGTGGCCGCTGCACTGTCCACCTCTTTTGACCACTTGGCAAGTTTCCCTTGAAGTGGAACTGGATCAACGCCTCACCCCACTTCAGCCACTGAACCATCTGTTCACGACCTTTCTTTGGCATGTCGGTTGTACTATCAGGGTATGTAAAGTGTTTCCATAATTATACACCTGGATCTCTCCCAACTTCTCCTGTCAACACATCCTGTATAAGCTACACCCTAGAGATCCCCGGATCCACACTCTGAGTCACGGGCTTATGTGTGTTCTTCCACCGGCGACCATGTGTTTTGGTGCCAGGAACTCTCAGGTCCAGACCGATACGGAGACCGGTACGACTGGATCCGAATGTCAAAGCACCGATCTCCGACTGGATCTCTCCCAACGAACTCGAAAACCCGCGCGAAAGGCCACCCGGCGGTCGCCTTCGCCCCCTTCCACGCTTCGCCCGTAGCGAGGCGCGCTCGCCCTTGGGCCTCGTGGCGGTGAAGTGCTTAGACCTGGAAGCGTCTTCCGAGGCGACCCACCGGCGTTCGCCCGCTTCGCGTCGGTGCGCGTCGGTGCGCGGGGCGCGGTCGAATCGACGCGTTCACCGGTGCTTGGAGCGATTGGTCTACGGCGTAGACGGCGTAGACGGTCCAGGTTCTGGTCCAGACTGTATACGCCGTAGACCAATCTTCCGTGACTTCCGTGCTCCAAGCACCGGTTCCGGTGAAAGAACCGTAGCATGATGGAAGGACGGGTGACATGAATCAAGAACAAAGAAGAGGTACAACGTCGACTCCAGGCACGGTCTCTCCGTACAGCTGGACCATTGTAGGCAACGTACCGCCTGTAAGGCCATTAAACATGAGGTACAGTACCTGGACCGGGGAAGGAAGGAAAAGTGCATGACCTGCCAGGGGTTGTGGTGGTGGTGGTGGCCTTTTGTGGGACACTTTTTGGAGAAGCGAGCTGGTGCGAATGACGGTTGATCTATACCCCCAAAAGTGGAGAAGCTGGAGAACATTCCTACATACTCCCACCATATTTAGGTTGGGAAAGTGGTTTCTCCGGTGGATTTTGGTTGGTTGCATCTTTATCCAGCATGGGAGTGTGGTGGATTTGTGCGATGATCCCATGTGGGGTGGAGGCCGGGGTAAAGACTGAGGATACTGCCAGACGGGGTGGTTAATTGATACCCCTTGACCTCGAAAGTTGTGGATGTTTTGGGTAAAGAACATTGAGACGAGATTTACCAGCACCTTCAAAGGGGTCACCAATGGAAGCCCCTACACTACTTAGGGATCTCCATTGCCCACCCCCGGATCTTACTGGAGGAGATCGGATGGGATCGGGCCATTTCAGGAATTGGGCTAAAACCAGCAAGCTTGATAGGTCCCCCCCTCAATCAAAAAGCGATGAAAGTGATCACCTTGGATGTTCAAGCGTGTCCTCTTTGTTATGCAAGTTTCCATATGCTCAGATATGTCATTACTCATGGATACTGAGCTTCAAAGTCCCTCACAGTGCCAGGAGCTCCAACAAGCTTCACAAGAGGCAGTTCCCTCAGAGATCTCAGCTTTCAGGGGTGAAACCAGGAGAGCTGGCCGCTGGCCGCCTTTTCGAATCCGGGCCTCTCTAACTCGGACACTCCATGTTTGTTATGCCGATCAATTGACCCTTCAAACCACCCCAACTGATCAGTAAATATATACGTTCCAGTGACATGACTCTATAAACGACTGCCGCAGGCACCCCCAAACTCATGTCATCTGCCCAACTGCAGGGAAAAAAATGAACATCGGCGATAACTAAAATTTGCACCTAGTATACCATATACATGGAGTGTTTGGGTAAGGGGAAGGGTTTGGTTCAGGTCCGGAACCCCTGCGAAGGTGTTTGGTACGATCACCATGGCACGGAGGCTTTCGCAACAAAACGTGACATATTGCCGCTGCGGACATGCAGTCAGAACGCAGAAGACCTTGCCCATCAAAATTGCACCAGACTTCTCGACTGGGGGAAGAGAAGATGTTGTTTTTGCCCCTGGCCCCAACGAGAACACAAGAGAACCACATTTGTTCGATCAGGGCGTTCACTTTAACATTGCAGGTTTCTGCTTGACATGGGCTGGGTGTGAAACCTTTTGATGGAATCTTATCCTCTCGTGCAGGAGTTCTGGACAACACTGGTCGATAAGGTGAGGTAGTTAGCGACCTTATAGTAGCAGGTGAAGCTATCAGGACCTGACACAACTGACAATTGCTGACCCGGAAGGCTTGGGTATACTTTGAGCGGTTGCAGCGGAAGTCTAAGGGTAAGGGTATGCCACATCCAATTTCCGCAGTCAGATGGAATGGGCATGAATTGATTTAGGACCAAATTAGATTAATTTAATACACGTAAATAAGCTATAGGTGTTAATCAATTGTTAAGCCATTTAATACCTATATACTTAGATCCACCTTGTAAATCCATTGCTTGTGGATAAGGCTATTACACGTCGCCTACCATCGTTCGACCTACGATGACATATCATCCGATTTACCATGACAAAAGAAACAAGAAATAAACCGTCCAGGAGTCACAGAGCTCGGGGTGGTCTTTAGTCCCATCTCTCGGAGTCGAATCCACATCGCTCATGACGGTCATGTACCAGGAGTCACAAAGGGGTGGTCTTTAGTCCAGTGGATGTTCTGGGCACCACTATCCTCCAAGTTCGGCACCCCGACATGTGACTGCTGGGTGTTGTGTCTTCCCAACTCACCAACTCTTCCTCCGAGGCCTCGTTGCTACGGCGGATTCGTCATCCCAACATCGTGAGGCGGGGGCGGAGTTGGACGGGTTTGAAGCTGTCTGGGGAGGTCGGAGTGAAGCTGTGTCCGAACTCAATGTCCAAGAACAAGATACTGATCCATCCCTGACAATCCATGGGACCGGAAGATTTGCCGGCAAGGCAAGACCCTATCTCAAAACATCGTAAAACAAAAGAACACACACATCAAACTGGCCTGGATCGGGATCGGGAGTCATCTTCCAGAAATGGATCGATTGTCAAGGCATGGTGGGCAAGGACATTTGAGGCAGTAGGAAAGGAGTTCCCAATAGATCCTCATATACACCCCAACTGGTACCCCAACTGCTTTCGATCTGGTTCTTCCTTTCCACCCCATATAGGGATCCAAGTACCTCCTCAGAAGGTATTTGGACCCTCCAAACCGACATAACAGCGTCAAACACATCACCTAACCTGAGGTTCGGTACGAAAACGGATCTATACGGACCCACCCTCTAACGCTACAGGTCGTGCTTCACCGATCGCGAGACACTCTCTCGCGTCGATTATCGCTACAGGTTCTTGGACTTGGTGGTGGAGGGCGGACAGCTGCGCATGGCCGAGAGACTCAGCGGAGGAGACTTTCGAGACTCAGCGAGCGCTCAAGACAGACTTGTGAAGAGAAGAAAGGCACCGAGACCATTCGACCGATCACCCCGCGGTGGTTTGGCACTGCCATGTTCGTCGCAGTGCCGGTGTTCGCCGAACTTGGCTGATTGTATGGATGAAAAGGCAACACATTGGCTCACAGTTGGAAGAACCGGCGATATACGACGTCTACACCCTTCCAATCCGGTCGGTACGAGCACACCGCCCCTTTTTTCCACAGGTGATGCAGCTGATGGAAGGCGACTTAGGGCAGGCTTTCACGCCGTGGGCACCGGAGCGGAACACGGAGCCGCGCGGGCACCGGTGGGGTGCGAACTGGAATGACCCGGGTCTTATGTGAGTCACATCGGGAGTGACAACTGGAGGGGGGAGAGGAGAGGAAGAACGCAGCCCTAGGGATCTAGTCGTGCCTTCTCAGAAGGTGGGACTGGGGTGGGTGCCAGGGTCCAGGTGCCGTACCTGAGGTTCGGTACGACTGGATCCCCCAAAAGGGCAGAGAAGCTGCAGAGTTTTCTTGGCAGAAAGGGCCTTCAGTTCGAAGATCGTGGTGAATCAGGCCATGTTTTGACCATAAAAGATGACTCCCGATGTTTAGGGGGGTGATTCGTTGGTTCGACGGGAGGATCCACCCGATGTTTGAGTACGGGCGCCCATGTGTTCGACACATGCGCAGGTGTTGGATGGTTTTGGAGGGTCCAGTCGTTACAGTCTGAGGTTCGGTACGACTGGATCCCCAAAATCAGCAACAAACATGCGGTTTTGGAGGGTCCACCGTTCTTTTTCATTGTTTTGTTTCTGGCCACTGTTAGTAGCTCCGCTACTGTTTTCGGTCGATGGGTGCTGGTGCATGGCCGTTCGATTTCATGGAGGGATTGGTTTGGAATGGCTATGACAACGAACGAGACCTTCGACCGAGTGCAGACCGCACCGCAGGCGATTACTCGTCGCCGTGAGCGGGGCAGAGGAGGCTTTGGTGAGGCGGGACGTGGGACGTGGTGCCGGGCGACGCACTGGGGGTGCGGCGCAGGATTTTCTTTGCATGTTTAAAGCTTCAGAATGGTGCAAGTAGACCGCGAGTCTTTTTTATGGTGTCCAGTTTTCTGGGGTACACACTTTCAGAATCAGGGTGTATAGTGTATACTAGTTGACTGCTGCAACTGCCTGAGACGACATTTTTTGTTGCTGTCCACAGCATGATTTGGGGTCATGTATGGGTGCAGCTGAAGTCCGTGTTGTTCCTTGTGTCAGTTATCGCGATTCAGATCGATGATCGTGAGGTGATGGAAAGCCTTTTGCAAATCCCATCCACTCTACCACAGCCCCAATGTGTGGTACTTGTAGTGGATCCACGAGTTTCTTGCCCCACATGTCTGGACACTCCGATTACCTCTGAGTACAGGTCATGTCGACACCGGATTAGCCCCCTCAGAAGGTTTGCTGCTTGGGGGGTGGGTCAGAACATGTGCAGTTCGACTGGGAGGGGGAATCAGGAGAGGTCTCCCCAAGACAGGGGTCCTAAAGACCAGTTCTCTCTTCACGAGTTCAGTCTCCCCAAAACTAGTTCTCTCTTCAGGAGTTGATTAGTCGCCAAAGGATTGAATTCGTGGGAGTTGAGGTTGCAGTTTGACGGTCTGCAGCAGTCATGAGACCCATCTTGACAACGGTCAACAAGGTCTATAAGGTCTGAGGTACCATTGAGGGATTGGACCAACCATACGGTTTGGGAAGTAGAGGGATACGAAGGCAGTTAGTAGTGAAACCAAAACTGTGGACCAAACTAGTTCGGGGTGAGTTTGTTAATCATATGTATACACATTACTAACATATAATATATATATAATTAATATATACATCACTATATATCGATTGTATATGATGTATTATAGTGCATATAACTAATACATATATATATATATATACATACGTACCAGCTTCTTCAAAGAGACCTTTTTGGAGTCCCCAGTCGTGACCTGAGGTTTCAGGATGTGGACCGACGGGTCAGACAGGACGGTGACCGTTTTAGAACCAGAAAGAAGATCGATTGGGTCATATTCCAACTTCAAGTGGGTCACATCCCAACATGAACCAGAAAGTACATCTATGTACTTGAAGTGGGGTCCAGCTCATGTAGATCCCATATGTTTGGACCGAAACAGGAGCAGCTCTGGCGATGGCAGGGGCCTCAACACGCGCGAGGTTGAACAGCATGGGGAGAGTTGAGATACCTTTGATCGAGCACCCTGCTGATTTCGGGTTTAGAGATGTTTAGAGTGACTTTCTACAAGTACTCGTTGTAAAATGGCTGCGAGTAAGTACCAAACATTGTAGCCCAGTACTGGTACATTGACATCTCGTTTATTCATTTTGGCCATTCGAGGTTCCGGGGGCTTGAGTATGACACCCGTGGGACAATCGGCACTAGGAACATGGTCAGCTTCTGTTGGAATCTTCTTGTTTATCCTCCAAAGTAGGGAACTTGGTCAGCGCGGGGGCATATGTTGTTCACTTTCATGGAAGATTCACCTAAAGCATCGATGATGCCATCAACTTGATGTGACGAACGTGGAAGCAGGATTTTGAGTATACCTTGATGGCAAGAAAGATATAGTGACTTAATGAAAGTACTTATAACTACTATACTTATATACTTAGAAGGATATACTAGCTATATACTAGCTATATCCTTTCAGATAATCGGTTTCGTCCCACGTTGGATAGCCCTACAGTTTATCCACCTTTAGGGGTACCCAGCCCCACCTGGTGTAGCCGGGGATATTGAAAGTGAGTATACCTTGATGTCATGCGGCGGCCTGGCGGGTCAGGCTGGGACGCTTGGCCAGCGCTTTACGTTTCCTCCACCAGGCGTGGCGGGCCGCGTGGCGCTGGGGCGTGAACCGGGGAGGTGGCGCAGGCATGCATGTGTGGAGAACACGTGGCGAAAACACAGGTTTCGGAGAAAATGGGTGATATAGGTGATATTATGTTGTTTCATATCTAATCTAGATTACAACTCTCAGGACCCTCGAACAGTTCTTGTAGAGAAGAGTCGCAGCTGGTGACCTGTTACTGGAGGGTCCAGTATACGATTTTGCCGCCTGTTTTGAGCAACTGGTACAACCAAGTTTTCGGTCATTTCCCATTGCGGTCATTAGCAATCACATATTAGGCCGCACAAAGGGCTTCCATGTCAATTCCTTTTGTTTCCTTTGATTTTTGTTGGGGGGGTCCTTTTGATATCCCTTTGGTTTCTTTTTGATTCCTATTGATTTCGTATTATTTCCTTTTGATTTTCTTTTGAGTCCTGTTAGATTACCTGTTGGTTCCTTTTGATTTCCCTTGATTCCTATGGTTTTCTGTTTTGCTCCTATTGATTTCCTTTTGATTCCTTTTGGTGTCCGAATTCCGATCGATGTTCTGATTCCTGGTTTGTTCTGGTTCCGATTTCCATGTGATTCCTGTTTCAGCGTTTGGATGTCCACCGCGACGGTGAGGGCGTTTGGTGAGGGCTGTTTGCTCAGGTGAAGATTCTCCACCGCGACGTGAAGCCGGCGTCAGGGGCACCCAGGGACCAAGCCGCCGGAGGTTGGATCGGGTACGATGACAGAGGTGCAACGGTCAAGTCGCAGTGTACTAACCTGTTAGAGTTTCAGGCATTGCAGGGCTTTGGACTGTCGGAGTCCACTAATCGAAAAGTTTGTGAGGAGATGAAGTGGACCATCGCCAGTCCAACTGGGGCTGATGAGGACCATTTGGCAGTAGTCGGAATGCTTAACCTGGACACCTCTTTGACAGAGGAGGAAGTCGTTCAAAGGATTTTGCACAGAACGCAGACAGAAAAGCTCGCTCCAGAGGCAGATGACCATGAGCTTGAGATGATTGTTAGGGACGCGCTCTTATTTGGAGAGCAGGACCAAGCTTTGAAAGAGCTGACCCGACGTCCGACTACAGTCACTGCCAGGAACTTCAGACCAAAGGTGCAACAGATGCACCAGCGGGCTGCGAAGGACGTCAAGGGCTGGTTGGACAAGAAGGCAGTGGAAGCCCGCAAGTCAAAGGACAAGTCAGAAACTGGCAAGGTGCCGCAGAAAAGCGAGGTGGAGGTCAGCGCATCAAGCTCAGACGCCGAGATTGAGGCAATACCGTTCTGGTGGCCGAATTTGGATGCGAGAGAGGCGAAATGTTTTTTCGCTGACGGCTGTGGTGTGAGGTGTTTTCTTAAGCAGTTGCCAACGGCAACATCCTGTTGTCTCACTATTTGAGAGAGGCTGAGAGAGTTGAAAAAACAAAAATGAAAAAACTATTCTGCCAAGAGACCCCAAACAGTGCGTGTGTGAGGTCTGTAAGCAGAAAGTCTAGGAGATCTAGACGCATTGGGGTCTAGAAAGGTGATGGTGGTGATGAAGTGAAGGTGGGTGTGAGTGCGAGTGTGATTGTGAGTGTGTGTGTGTCCACCCCTGGACAAAGGGTTTTCCACCGCTCCTCCTTCCACTGTTTTTCAACCACCTTTTTCAACCTTCTACAGGCAGGGGGGCGGAGAGGACTTGCAAGGCTCTGCCCAACGAAGCTCCTTGCAAGATCCTAGGATGCGGAAGCTGATCACTTCCGTGTACCTGCTCGTTCTTTCACAAGCTGTTACTCCACTTTTCCACTTTTTGTTTCATGGTTCTTCACGATTTCCACCCCATAAACATTCGTCCCCAGCAGCTGAGCAGCCGGTTCGCTTTTCCGCCGCTTGCGAGTGCCAACATTGTTCAACAATACTGTTTCAGCTGACCTTTCCACCTTGCTGTTCCATCACCTTCCTTCCCATCGGGAAATTGAGTTAACTGAATACAAGTGTCAGAGTGTGTTTCGCTCAGCCGTCCCACTCGGGTGCTGAGTGTGATCCCCGTCACAGGGGCGCAGTTTTTCACGCCGGTAAGCAACCAACCCAACATGCCACCTCTCACCGGATTTCCACTGGAAGTCATGGACACACCCTTTGAATCAACAGCTGCATTGGCCGCCGGGCCTCAACACGGTTACTTACTCTTTCACCAGCTTTCAGAGTCAAGGGCTAAGTATTCAGTAACTAGAGTGCTAGGTAGTCAGTAACTAGAAGGTTTTGTAACTAGTGGGCCTCGTAACTACACCTATCTTTCTTTCTTCCCCTCTTAGCGCTGCTCTTTCTGTCTTTCTTTCCTTTTGTTTCTAAGGCTTTTTAGGTGACTATTTAGTTTTCTCACATGCGCGCCGAAAAAGCGCCGAAGCCGGCGACCTGTGTGTGTCCACCCCTGGACAAAGGGTTTTCCACCGCTACTCCTTCCACTGTTTTTCAACCACCTTTTTCAACCTTCTACAGGCAGGGGGGCAGAGAGGACTTGCAAGGCTCTGCCCAACGAAGCTCCTTGCAAGATCCTAGGATGCGGAAGCTGATCACTTCCGTGTACCTGCTCGTTCTTTCACAAGCTGTTACTCCACTTTTCCACTTTTTGTTTCATGGTTCTTCACGATTTCCACCCCATAAACATTCGTCCCCAGCAGCTGAGCAGCCGGTTCGCTTTTCCGCCGCTTGCGAGTGCCAACATTGTTCAACAATACTGTTTCAGCTGACCTTTCCACCTTGCTGTTCCATCACCTTCCTTCCCATCGGGAAATTGAGTTAACTGAATACAAGTGTCAGAGTGTGGGTGAGAGTGAGTGCGAGTGAGAGTGAGAGTGAGTGTGGGTGAGAGTGAGAGTGAGAGAGTGAGTGTGAGCGCAAGTGTGAGTGAGAGTGAGTGTGAGTGAGAGTGTGTGTGGGTGAGAGTGAGTGCGAGTGAGAGTGAGAGTGAGTGTGAGTGAGACTGAAGGTGGGTGAGAGTGAGAGTGAGTGCGAGTGAGAGTGAGAGTGGGAGAGTGAGTGAGATTGAGAGTGGAAGAGTGAGAGCGAGAGTGTGAGTGTGAGGAGTGTAAGTGGGAGTGGGAGAGTGTGCGTGTGAGCGCGAGTGTGGGTGAGAGTGAGAGCGAGTGTGAGTGAGAGTGAGTGTAGATGGGAGTGAGTGTGAGTGAGAGTGTGAGTGAGTGAGTGTGAGTGTGAGTGCGAGTGGGAGTGAGTGTGAGTGTGAATGTGAGTGTGAGCGAAGAGTGAGTGTGAGTGTGAGCGTGTGTGAATGAGTGAGGGTGAGAGTGAGAGTGAGAGAGTGAGAGTGAGCATCTGAGAGCACAAAAGTGCTGCGCCTGCCATGAAATCTGCAGCACGAGGTTCTCGAAATGATGTACCTACCTGCCACGAAATCTGCACTTCGAGGTTCACCAAGCGCTGCACCTGCCACGAAATCTGCATTTCGAGGTTCACCAAGTGCTGTGCCTGCCACGAAATCTGCACTTCGAGGTTCACCAAGTGCTGCGCCTGCCACGAAATCTGCACGTCGAGGTTCACCAAGTGCTGCACCTGTCATGAAATCTGCGCTTCGAGGCTCGCCAAGCGCTGCGTAGGACCAGCATGGGCATTGTCCCGTTACTTGAGCATGGTTGGTTGGTCGGTCTTTTTCGGGTGATAGTACTTTTCTCTGTCTGTCTCGGTTCGCACTGACTCCTTGAAACATATCCGTAAGCTGCTTCATCAGGCGTGGTCCTACCACCTCCATCATCGCCAGATTTCGCATCGCAAAGGTATTCCTCCGCACCCATTCGATTTCCCCATCCTTCACCGTGTACTCAAAAGCCTTTCGGCCACTGAAAATAAGCAAATTGCATATGACCGGAGGGTATAGGTGGGTGCGGTTAAAGCTACCTGGTCCAACACAACCAGTGACAAGTGTTCCTTTTGCAGGTCTTTAGACACACATTCCCACAGACAGTTGGAATGCCCAACCTTTCAATCCGTTCGCAGTCGCCATCCACAAGCAATCACATATTTGCAGAAATCAAATTGTGGCTCCCACTCCCATGGTCCAATTCCTGATATCCAGACGCTCCGACAACTCATGTCCTATCGAGGCCAGAATACTGAACATACTCACATTCGCCTTGATGGCAATATTTTGTATTTTTATACCGACGGCTCCGCGGACACTCCGGTTTGTCCCGATACACGGAGAGCGGCATGGTCGGCGATTCAATTTTACCAACAGATGCCCAGTCCACCTACCTCACGATTAAGATCCAACATGTTTCCGGCGCACAGTGGACTCAACAGGTAGTCATCACAACCGACTCACAATACGTCCTTGACATCATGGCACCGCTTGGCCAATGCCGATTTGTTGCAGATGGTCTCTGAATGTTGGCGCCCTTCGCAGTTTATTCTTCGCAAAGTCAAGGCTCATCAAAACATTCACGACCTTCCTGTGGGTTCTGATCGGGACGATGCAGTCGGTAACATAAGTAGAGCCCAGCTTTGGCATCATGATCAACTAACGCAGACGCGATGTATTCTTAAATATCTTGCAGATTTGAAGCTGGAACACGCCCAGCATAAACAGAAGGAACAGTCCCAATCCAACGCCTCCCAGCCGCATGATTCCACCCAAGATTGGGGCACGCTCTTCCGTTTGCGGGAAAAATATGTGGCGCAAGCCCCGGTTCAACTTTTCCAGCCCACAACTCATCCAACATGTTTAGTTGCCTGCCTGTGGGGTAATCAGTATGCAGATTTGGTCCTTAAATTTGGTGCGTCTCCAGATCCGGAAGCCACCGTTATTGACCCAATTGCACTTGCAGGTATTACCTGGCATGAACTAACTGTGGCCTTCATTGTAAACACGGGATTGCAATTTCCTACTTGGATTCGTCTTAAGGATAATCAAAAACCAGACCACATCACTGGCAGGACCCCAAAGTGCTCGCATTACCTATTCCATTGCCTTGAATTAGTTGCTACTAGTGATGGCCTCCCACCTACTAGCGATGGCCCCCAACCTACTAGCGATGGCCTCCTTGACTGCTTCAAGTTATGTGCCCACACAGCAGCAGCTCAGGAGAAGCTGAATGGGTCATTGTGATGGCGAGCGACGCAGAGCAGAGCTCGCTGTTGGAGTCCCTGGAGAAGCGCCTGCCAACGCACACTCGCCAGACGATGCTGAAGAGCTTTAGCACAGGTTCAGTGCAGAATGGTGCCAGCCTGCATTAAGATTCATGTATGATTTTTGAGCTGCGCACGATTGATTTTGGACCGGTTCCTTGGCTGATGTGTGCACATGAGTGTGTACATGTAAGGCTGATGGCAGCGGCGACCAGAAGGCCGTGATGCTCAGTTTCAAGAAGAACTTGCCTCACAGGGCAGTTCAGCAGTTTGTCCAAAGGACATCCAAAGTGCCACCGTTGGAGATCATCGCAGCGTAGAGAAAAGGAAGCAGCCAAGAGTTTTCAAGATTTTTCCAGACTCTGGTAGGACTTCCCCGACAGGGTTCCACCACTTTGGGTTCCACCACCTTAGTCAACAATTGGTTTGGTTGGTACATACCACACTCCCCGGAACCCACAACATGTGAAGGTCTGCGGGAAGCGTCTCAGACAGAGTCCGCAAGTATCGTTGGTCTATCGGATCTAGTTTCCGGGGGCCATTGTGAAGGGTTCCAAATGCAATAGAAGAAAAGACCATTGACTATATGTAACTGGGTTGCTTTTATAGAAGTTGCTAAGTTGATAGCTGAAAAATATTGCTCATGTTTGTTGGAACCTCAACAACTGAGTCGGATTCAGTATGGTTTCCAATTGCTTTAATAATAAGCAGGGTAGACCCATGTGTTTAACGGGGACCTCCTTCAGATCCAGGTTCAATGCCCAGAGAAAAATGTTGGGTTCAAGCCACTGATTATCTCAAAGTCTACCAAGTTTAGTAATGTAGTCCCTTGATTTATAAACCCCCTCCCCCCTCTCAACAACCAAGGCCTCCAAAATCATATATAAGAAAATTAATTAATTGATAATTGAATAAGGAATCCTTAGCTAGCTACCTCTGGAGCTACTCTGGCAATACTAAAATGAAAGGAATCAAGAAACCTAACTTTGAAGACATCTGGAATATTAATTACAATAAAGGGGAATGAATCAATGCAAATAGAACTAACTTTTTAAATTTCAATGGAAATCTGAATCCAAAGACCTGCAATTTCAATGGTAAGTAAAGCAAATCAAAAGGCAAAGAAAAGGAATAAAGATTTAAAGCCTCAAATCTCTAGACATTATTCTAGGGCCCCCCCTAAATAATGTCAGAAAGCTGCTTGCTGGACTACCCCCTTTGCTTGAATGATTTTTTGTTTTTCAATACTTTTGAATAAGGGATTTTATAAACAAAGTGCGCACTGACTTTTGGAATTTTTTGGAAAGCTTCAAAACTAAAGAGCTTAGGAAAAGTAAATAAGGAATAGAGGGTGAGTAAAGCAAAATCAAAAGGCAAAGAAAAGGAATAAAGAAGGCTTTAAATCTCTAGACATTATTGTAGGGCCCCCCTAAATAATGTCAGAAAGCTGCTTGCTGGACTACCCCCTTTGCTTGAATGATTTTTTCAATACTTTTGAATAAGGGATTTTATAAACAAAGTGCGCACTGACTTTTGGATTTTTTTTTGGAAAGCTTCAAAACTAAAGAGCTTAGGAAAAGTAAATAAGGAATAGAGGGTGAGTAAAGCAAATCAAAAGGGAAAACGTAAACTATAACAATAAAACATATTCCACTACAACTACCCCTCAAAAAAACATTATTCTGGGGGCCTTTATAGATCTGTGCAAGAAAACATCATTATTCTAGGGGGGTTTATAAATCTGAGGGCCACATTAGTGGCACAACTCCTTATTTTACTACAAATGAGTTTTGTGGGAGGGTTGATGGCAGGTTTCAATCATGGTCTCAAGGGGATCTCCCTTTGTCAAAGGTTCAACCCCAAAGAAACAAAGTTTGATTTTTTAAAAAACATACTGTGATCTGCCAGGTTGCGACGGTCGCAATCTGGTAGACCAGTCGCAAGCGGTAGTGCGACACTCAGGGGGGGTTTTAGAGCAACCCCAATGGTTTGGAAACATAGACCGACATAGATCATAGTTCAGACCCATTGATTCGAGTCTTGCATGCAGAGCTACGCAGCTCCGTATGTGTTTGTATGCATTTATTCACGCGTCCAGCCCTTATTTTTTTAGAGTTGGGATGATCCAAGACATCGGGAAAACATACCACATAGTCCCTGAAAGCGGCTTGAAAAGAAGATAAAATATGATATGAACAAAAACAATGCAAAAAAAAATCATGAACAAAAAACTTTGTTTTTTGTCCATGGTGGTGTTGTGTTGTTTGTTTTTGCCTCCTTTTTCCACACTTTGTGCTTCGCGATGCCTCGTGCCGACCGAAGGAACATCTTCCTCTCGAAGACGCAGGATGCCGTGCTGGGAGATTTCAGCATCGCCAAGGCCAAGTTGTGTTGTTCGCGTCTTCCCGGATGGCAAGAGAAACATTGGTGGGGATCCAACCAATTTGTGGGGATCCAACCACAGCATTTCCATGTTTTTCCTTCGGGATGACACACCGGTCCACCTCTCCCTTGACCTCGGAGCGGTCTATGGATCCATCCTTGTCCCGGTGACCGGTGACCACACCGTACCACCTTACCGATAGGAGGGTGGCAGTGGGTGTTGGTTGTTGGTGATGTGTTGTCTCACCTTGCCATGATTGTTCACCACCGTACCTTCCCTATAGGGAAGTCCTTATTGTTTGTTTGGTGTGCATGGGTTTTCTTTGATGTTGCTGGTGCGAGGCGAACGAAGAACAACGATATTTCCAGACACAATCACACCATCATGTTTTGTCAGACATCGACAATGAGAGAAACTGATGAACACTATTCAAAGAAACTGATCAGTTCTAAATGTCTAATGCCATGGCACTTCTTTGAATGAGACCACACAGGTTCATGTAAGGATCAGCACAGGTCCATGTTGTGCCTCATGTAGAAACAACATATTGTGGTCGTTAAAGCATCATCAGACCAGCGAACTCATATGATAGAATTTGCTCAGACAAACCGATACGAACAACACCACATCTTCGCCAGCAAAAGCGCTTGGACGATGTCCTTCGGCCGTCTTTCCGGGGGCGACTCGACGGAGCTGAGCTGGGCGACTCGGTCCATCCAAAGATGGCTCCATCTGTTCCAGTGGATCCACTTCTTCTTGTTTCACTTTGCAATCCAGACCCCAGGCTTCCAACCAAACATGAACCAGTGAATAGCCTAATTACGGGGCCTGGTCTGGTCACTTTAGAACGTCTTGGAAGCCTGGGGCAACCATGTTCACCAGACCAGACCTAGGCAGATGGGGCCACCCAAGGGCTCCGGAAGGGCTCGTGGAGCATCACAGGTCCTGGGCGAAGATCTCGCAGCCACACAGATCGGCACACCTGGGTACTTGGCGCCTGAGGCGCGTCACGTCATTCGCCGAGCTTTCAGAGAGTTGAATAAGGGGTGGTTCGAGGTGGGTGGAGCGGTTTTTTGGGATTGGGGGGCAGAATGAGGGTATTCACGGCTCAATGTGTGCGGTATTGTTCAGTTGAAAATACTATAGAGGCATCTTTTTCCCGAAAAGGCAATCTTTTTGGTGCCGTTTCTGAGCGCCCAGGCAAGGACTCCTGGAAGCCCAAACGAGAGCCCATTCATGTACGCCGAGATTTAGTTGTTCTTCCAATTTGATCATTTGTTGGTAGTGACTGCGCGGAGTCCCAATTGGATTTTTCAAGCCATCAGCTCATTCTGGCCCACACCTGAGATGGACTTGATCCACCCAATTCGCTATCATCCAGGAGGTGTTTTGCTCTTCAAGCCAAGAAAAAAACACATGTTGACATAATCATCTCGACCGATGTCCGAATCACCAGATCGTTGCGGCAAGAGTTTGAGATGGTTCTTGGATGTTCTTGGCAACTGAGCAAGTAAGCTTAGGTGCTTAGCATGTTTTCTCCAGAAGCTATCACCCGTCCACCATCGTCCACCTCTCCACCCCTGACCGTTGGCCTCAGCGCAGATTTGGCTGGGGCAACCGTTGGGAAGCCCAGCCCCGGTTAAGCAGACATGGCAGGTTTGCATTTGGTCTTTTCCCCAGGAGCTACGTTCATAGCTTCTTGTTACTAACTAGTAGCGATGGCCTCCAACCTAGCTGCTTGTTGTTATTTACTAGAAATGGTATCTTCCCGAATGATGCTTCAAGTTCCTTGTTGGCAAAAAACACGTAGCGTTGGGCAGTTGAGGAACCGACCTGTTTGGGATGGCCAATCGCGTAGGTGTACGTGGAGCCTTTAGGTATATAGGTATTATGTGACCTTAGATGGCTTTGCTGGAGTTGTTCTGTTCTTTGAGAATCCGGGACAGAACAACAATCGGGTCCGATAGATTCAGGTCATCACGGTCGTCATCCCAGCCACCGAAGACCGCACGTTCCACGATCCACCTCGCGGTCCAAGAACGCGGTGGCGCACGCATGCCATGCCGCGGACGTGCCGGTGCCGTGAGCGTTCCACACCCTTGGCACGCTATGCAGAACGCCTTGCAGCTTCTGATGTGGAGGAGGTGGCCTTGGAGCCAATGCTCTTCCCGATGTACACAGTGCCTATGGAAGTTGCACTGAAAATGACTTGTGTGGAACCATACGAAGAGCTTGTGAAGAAGGGCCTTCTGGTGGAGTTTCTTGCGCCCAAAAGAGCTGTTTCTATTAGTTTCTATTTGTGTCTCAGTTATTTGGGGACCAAAGAAACATGCTCTTGACCTTTTGTTTGGGTAAAGCAATGTTTGAGTCTTCCAGATCGAAGGTTTCAACCGAGCTTGGGTAAAGCAATGTTTGTGTCCCACCAGTGGACTGGGACGGAGCACCCCGACCCCAACTTCGAGCAGTTCCCGATTTTCCAGGGTGCCATGAAGCCTGGTTCGGCGCTTTCAGGAGCGATGTTCCATGCGTTTTCCCCTGATCAATCGCCTAATTTATGGGAATTGAAGTAGAGTCTAAGTGTGCACCTGATTCCTGATCAGCAACTCCAAGGAAAGAAATTTTGAACAATCTGAGTTTCATTCCCTTAGACTACGCCACAGAGGCCATCGTGCCAAATGCAAAGCCACTCTCAACTCAAGAGCTTCGCAACTTGGGTTTGGTCGATCAGGTGTCTTTTGGAGTGATTGTGTGCTTCTATATCTTTGCCCCAGTGTTTGTTGTTCTTGGATGTCTTGGCAAGAGTCTTGGCTACCAAAATCCAAGGACGAGTCCAATTATTCATCTGGTACGACTACTTCTGTTGCCCCCAGCATGAGAACGCGTTTGACCTTTGCACAGATGCTGATAGTCATCTATGCCATGCCATTGCAAGTATCCATTGTTGCCTGGATCATCTTGCGGATGTACAACTTTTGATGATCTTACTTTGCTAAATGTTATCCGCTCTACAGTAGCATAAACCTCCTTAGGATTGTTAATTCTACATAATGGACTGCGTGCGGGGTCGGTGTCAGTAGAGTTTGGTTCTTGTGGTTGTCAGTTCTTCGCTGAAGTTGTTATGGTCGCTTTAGGTTGTCTTGTTGTGAAAAGACTGTCATGCATAGAACCAACATGTTGGGTAGAGTGAACCCAAAGTGGAGTCATGTGATCCAACAATTTTTCAATGCAGGAGTAATTATTGAAAAAGGAAACGGATTGGAAGAGCTCACTGGCTTCCAGTTGAATGTATTTAGATCACAAGACATGAGCCGAGTCATTCTTGTGGCAACCGAGACCGGGCGAGGCGAGGGTCAAAACCACATGGAAAGCAGCGGCTGCAGTGCGTTCTGTAAAGCGAAAGGCAGTGGATATTTTATGGAACCTCCATACCCTACTCATAGGGTCCAGGTACCTCCGTACTTCGGATGGTCTTAGAAGGTGAAAGTACGTCAAATGGTCGAACGGGGGGTCAAAGGACATGGTCCTGGACCCTTAGGGCTAGGGATATCTAAGGATCCATGGATCCAACGTACTGGTACCGGTTTCGGTACACCCGTTTCGGATGTCAATGTCTCGAACACGTCCTCATCGTACCTCAGAGGGCAGTGGATCCCGGGATAGAACATGAGACGAACTCTTCTTCAACTTCAACCGTGGGGCGACCGACTCGGCTGTGTTCTTTCTAACGGATGGATCATTGGTCCGTTGAGACGATCTTGGTGCCTTTTGGGGCCTTTTGACGTTGGAACTTCTGAGGTTATGTCTCGGCATCTTCCTTCTTCCTGGCACTTTGCCCCTTTCTGCCGAACGCGGGAACGAACCCTGGAGCTAGTTCCTGCCTCAGCTCTTCAAGCTGGAGTCAAAGGGGCTGGTGTCGTATGGAAAGAACGATGCGGGAGCTCTCTTCAGACACCTGGGCAAATTGGTCGTTGTTTCTTTCAGGTCGGGCCACGCGGAGCTCAACCACCCGAACGGGGTACGAACCAGCTGAACACCAATGATCATCAAAAACTGGACGCGAACCTTTGATTTGTTGTGGTTTGGTTTTCTGAATCAGACGCTTTACCGTTTGCCTTTCTATTTGTCACGGTCTGTTGCATTGATTGCTTGACGTTTTGTAGGGCTGTCTCAACGCTGTAATGTAGACTCTTGATGAATAAATACACCCCATTTGAATTGAACATCCTCTTCAAAGGGGTAAAGGGGGGGGGTTATGGTCCTCAAGAGTTGCCCGCTGTCTGTGGGGCTTGGTGTTTCTGTGGATTCAGTCCATCCACCGATCCTCAGCGAAACCCAAAGCATCCGCTCTGGTGGATCGATCGGTTTTCGTGGCGGGTTGATGGTGTGGCACAGCTGGAGACCCAATCAACCAGGGAGGCAGTGACGGTATCGATAGGGAGTATTCCGAATTCACTATATTCCCCCCATGAAAGAAAGGGAGCTGGAACTCGGGGCAACCACTGACCTACGCACGCTATAGTTCCCAGGCGCACCCCTGTAGCTGACTCATAACTGTGGCGGCCGTCTCAGAGCTGTCTTTGGTTGGAATCCACATCCAGGATCCAAACGCCACTGCACTATCCTCACTAACAGGACGATCCATGGGTGGTGCCATCGGTGACTCTTCTACTCCCTGGTGAGTGGGTGGGGAGTGACGCAGGTGCCGGTCCGGCCGACACCAGCGAATTGCATCCCAGGAAGCGTCCTGGATTCGCGTGAAGAGCGTTGAGCATATTGAGCTCGTGGTGATGTCCGGTGCCTTCAATCGGCCCACGGGGGAGGGAGAGTTCGCAATACCGGAGGACTGATGAGCAAAAACAAGTCTTCATGGAATGCTTTGTATTATTTGTTTACAATATGTGTGTTTCATTGATATAGTTATGATGTTCATGTTGAACACATTCACTGCGTATTATATGATTCATGATGTGTCAAAAGACTCTGCCCGAACGACTGCGAGGACAAGAGCAAGATCGGAGTGGTTTTGGCCAATGCACTGAAGCGAAGAATGCTGAGAGCTCTGGAAAGTGGGGACATTGTGAGGTATCGGCTGGTTCGGAACATGCAGAGTGTTCATTTGAGAGGACTGGACGGCAGCCATTCCTATTAGCTTGGAGGCCATCGCTACTGGGTTGTAGGCCACCGCTATTAAGTTGGAGGTCATTGCTCTTAGGTTGGAGGCCATCGTTCTTAGGTCGGAGGCTATCCCTAATAAGTTGGAGGCCATCGCTATTGGGTTGGAGGCCATCGCTACTATTGGGTTGGAGGCCATCGTTCTTAGGTCGGAGGCTATCCCTTAGCTAATAAGTTAGAGGCCATCGCTATTATTAGGTTGGAGGCCATCGCTATTAGGTTGGAGGTCATTGCTCTATATTGCTCTTAGGTTGGAGGCCATCGCTACTAGGATGGAGGCCATTCCTATACAGTCTTTGAGAGGACTCGAAGTCTCACCCGAGCTGGACATCATCCCGAAAAGCGCAGCTTTGGCTTTTCGAGCCGAGCACTCAGAGTTGGTGGAGGATTTCTTCATTCAGAATGGCTTCATGAAAGTCAATGAGACAGACAGTGCGGGCTACACGCCCTTGCACTACGCTGCTTTGCTTGGAGATCCGTTCTTGATCAAGGCTTTGTTGGAAGCAGGTGCCAATCTCCTGAAGACGACCCGGAAGGGACAAGCTCTACTGGGACTCCCTCCATGGGTTTCTGCAGTTGGGCTTTGTGCTTATCTAGGGCACAATGAAGCAGCACGAGTCTTGATTTCCGCCAGAGCTTCAGTGCAAGAACCCGGTTCGCCCGGGACGGCGTTGCATGCCGCTGCTCACAGCAACAACGTGGAGGGCATTTCAATTCTGTGCGAAGCGAGATGCGATCCGTGGCAAAGGGACATCTTTGGGCGCTTGGCGCATGACAGTGCATGTGACACCTGGATGTTCAATTAGGCAGATTTTACATATTCGACTTTCCCTAGGGATCCAAGTACCTTCTCAGAAGGTAATTGGACCCTCCACACCTACATCACAGTGTCTCCAATCACCTTCTGAGAAGGTGTTTGGATCCCTAGGGTTTGGCGATTCCCTTCAGAAAAACAAATGAAGCCTTTTTCCAGGTTGATGGGCAAATCCAAGGACACCGATTCCTTTGAAGCACTCCAGGCACTCTTGAACCGCACCGGTACCAGTCATTTGTCCAAACTGCTGCACAGCGCTGCGTCCTCTTCGAAGGGTGGATCCGTGCAAGTCATTCAATTGCTCATCGACCTTCGGGCGGATGTGGACGAACGGTACAGCGTCCAGTGGATGTCACCCCTTGGAGCGCTTGTGGCTCTACAATCTCTCCGCTACAGGTGTGGTCAAGTCACTAGCCTAACGAGAATCTCGGGCGACTCTATCAATGTTGTTGTTTTGGTTTAATAGGGATGGATATGTATTGATTTAAGTTTCATTATGATGTTGGTTGCTTGATTGTTTGATCCTGGTGCCTTTTGATGGCCTGCGGCTTCTTTGGTTAAATCTTTGGTGCTATGGTTCTTGGCTGTTGATTTGCTTTTGGTGTTTGTCTTTCCGCTTTCCAGGTCTCTGTTTTTGGGCTGTTGGTGTTCTTTTAGAGGCTGTTGGTTTCTATGGTTTGATGGTTTGGCTCAAGTTGTTGAGGAGATGCTGAAAGGCATCCGGCTTCCTTTGTTGTTTTCCTGTTCCTCTTCCTTCTCTCTTTTGAGAAAAAACGAAAAGGTCCGAAGCTTTTCTCAAGCTATAGATGCGTGTGTGTGTGTTTGTCTCTCAAGGTGTTTCGTTTGTTTCAAGTGTTTCGTCAGTGCCAGGAATGCTGTATCATATACAAGGCGCCACACCCTTAATGTTGGCGCTCCTCACGGGAAATCATCAATCTGCAACTCTCCTCATCATGGCAGGCGCCACATTGGAGCTTCAGAACGCACGAAACTACACGGCAGCCGAACTGGTTGAGTTGCCAGTGCCAGAGGTGATCGAGGTAGCCTTGAGCAGGGATGCCATTTATTGTCGAATTTGACAGATGTAGAGATTTCTGGAGATGTACAGTGTTACAGTATGGGTGTGTATTTTTAATCAGGAGACCCTCTGGCTCTGGCTGGATAGACTGAAGACTGGTCTATGTCTTTGCGAACCCAGCGGGTCGAAGTCACATCCATATCCACTTTTTGAGATGCACAGATGTTCCAGGTATTGACAGCAAGCTCCAAAACACATGAACCAAACACAGTGTGGTAGCAACCTGAAAGATAACAAGCCTTTTTAAGGGAGTCACTGACAGCAAGAACCTGGTGGTGTGAAGTGTTTGAATCTTTTAACAGCCGTTTCACCGTAAAGCAGATCCCACGCAGACGTCTCACGATGGCAAAGGGGTGACAAGAAGCATGTATTAATTGTTTTCACGGACTCGTACATGGGAGTGTTGGTGTCGTTCCATTGTCCAGAGTCTATACCACATTATAACTATACCTGAAGTCTTGAAACACCTCGGGTTCATTGGGTACTAAGTATGTCATGACTCTGCTTTTCTTTGTGGGTCATGTCCCGTGTTCGTCCAGGTACAAGCGAAGTGTGGGGTCCAGGTTGCACATTGATATGGTTTGATCCCTTCGGCAGTAAATCGGACCTACCCAGAACCAGAACCGATCCGCCAGGTTAAGTTGAAAGGCCCGGACAGGTTACCAGGTACTGAAAATACCTGACAGGTGGAGATTGGAATCAACCATCCATACTCCTTTGTAGATTATATATGATGTCTCATACTTCCAGGTCAAACAAATCATTCCAGCAATAACAAGCTGTCCAGCTGGCCTGGAAGACAGGTTGCCAGGGTGGCGATTCCGAAGACCTTCCATTCACTTCAAGCCTATAGCCTAGGACGCTTCGCGTGTGGAACTTCCACCTCTGAAACCAAAGAACGACCTGCGAACGCCGCAGAGGTGAAGTAGCTGGGGTCTCTTTCTTCGCCTTCACTCGGCGGTTCTTCTGTTCCGCCTTCACTCGGATGGCCCCCGTCCTCCGCAGTACCTCGGTCCGGTCCGTACCGCACTCGGCTCCGAGAGTGCGGCTCCGTCACCGCGATCCTCCGAGGTACGGCCCCAAGAGCGACGTCTTCTCACTGGGTTGCAGCATCTTCGAGGCGGCAAACCGCATGGGCCCTGGGGAAGGACAGCCATGTGAACGGCAGAGTGGGAAGGAAAAGACTCGTTGTCACAAGAGCTGAGGGCACTGAAAGAAGGAAAAGAAGAACTGTTTCCAGGCGTAGCTAGAGGGCTCCAATGACCTCTAATCCAATCCCAAACACCTTCTAAGAAGCTACTTGGAGCCCTAGACCTTCTGGTTTCCGACCAGGTCCTACTTCCAACTTCACCTACTTCACCTCCCCTCCTCCCGAACATCAGACCCTTCACCTCGAAGGAACCAGCTGAAACTTCATAGTCCCTAGGGCTCCTGGCCCACCTCCTGAGGTTCGGTTGGGGTGGGTGGTTTGGGGGGTCTATATAACCACCGAACCTGAGGATATGGGACAGGAGCCCTAGGGAGTTTTCTGGACCTGAAACAAAAACCCACCAGTTTTCCGGTGAGTTCTGAGTTGTCCGCAAGGCCTGGTTATAAGCGTTTTGTTTGGACCCCTAGCCTAGCATCGACGAACACGCCGCGTTTGGATCGGAGATCCACCGGTCTATGCCATGCTGATCCGTCATGACATGCTGGCTCCCTGTGACCTTATGGCCTACCGAGGTCCCATCTCAAAGCTAAACATTGGACCCCTTGTGCAATTATAGGTTAGGATGCATTCGATAAGACATGGATCATTCAGAAATGGACGTCATAGAAAAAACAAAGTTAGGTCATTTTGTAAAGAAGACACATGATGTATGGGATCCTGGCAGAGTTACTTTAAATACGAAGTCAGGTTGTGATGAGATATCCATATACAGTATAGTAGTGTGGACAGGTCATTTTGTAAAAATCACTCGGGTGGCACTGAGTGGCCCGTAAATGAACCCGATGTTCTCTCTCATGGATGTTGATGGCTTGTTCATGTCAAAAAAAAGTGTTTGGAGCTTGCATTTAATGATCAAAACCTGCAGAAATAGGTGAGTAGTATGGTGGACCCTCAGTGCGTACCTTGGAAAATGGGTACAGTCGTTATACCGATACCTTTTTGTTTGGGGGGGGTCATGTTTCATTTTCTAAGGTGCTTCAAGTCGAGTCCAGGTACCTTTGCTTTTGTAGTCAGCTCACGTCATATTTGCCGAGAGAATGTCGAGTTTGGGAATTGACTATGCAAAACAAGAGATGAAACCCACGAACCCGAATGCAAGCGCGTATATACTCGAAAACAGACGCCCAAACAATGTTTGACACTCTCTTGTAGGACACTCTTGTGGGGCACTCTTGTAGGATACTCTGCTTGTGGGACACTCTTGCGGGGCACTCTTGTAGGACACTCTTGCCGGCCACTCTTGTCGAACACTCTTGTCAGCCACTCCTGTAGGACACGTTTGTGGGACACTCTTGTCGGGCTCTTTTATGGAACGCTCTCTTGTAGGACACTCTTGTAGGCCTCTGGAGGACACTGTTATGGGACACTCTTGTGGGACTCTTGTGGGCCTCGTGTAAAACACGTTTCGTACGTGACTTCCTCCAAAGTCAAGTCTCCCCAACGAGCGTTTCACACGAGACTTCCTCAAAACTCACGCTTCAAGTCTGCAAAACGAGCCTTTCGTACAAGACTTCCTCCAAAATGACGCCGCTCATCACGGCCTCGGCCTCCACCTGGTGGTGGACGACGACGAGAAGGTGAGCCTGACGCAAGTTCCCTGCCATATCAACTGACAACGTTCGTCACGCTCTTCAGAGCTTCTTCAATTTTTGTGTGATCATCCAATGCCGGCAATTAGGCCAGCTCTGACAAGGGTGCGTGCTTCAGCGATTATGGAATCTGCTTCGTTGTACGGGTACCGTGTCAATTCCAAGCCTCCTGGCAGTCATGGCATACGCCCTGCTCCATTTCAGGTGGTTGCCTCGTTTCCTAAGTGGTCTTGGGACAAGCCAACCAAGTACCTCTCATGGGAACCCCAGGTTCCTTTGGGTTATCTGAGCTTGAAAAAGGCGGCATGTTCTTTCCTTTGTTGGACAGTGTCGGTAGTCACACAATTCGGCACATTGCGTTTCATATACTGAGTTGGCGTATGCCATGTGGCATCGATGTGGACCATGGGTGAAGCGCCTTTGATTTTGACTTGCAATGATAAATGCATGCAACTTCATCCGGGCGACTGTCGGTCACCATTCACCATACCTTTGGGTCGATGTGTTCCACACGGAGTCCTTCACTGAGTTCTGGATCCCACGTGGCGAGAGGCTCTTGATGGCTCGTGTTTTTCTTGAAATTGGGCGGACGTACCTACGGACAATGGTGTTTTCCTTTGGACGAGATCTGAGTTGTTACTATCTTGGTGGCTGCTTTTCATTGGGGTTCTTTCTCTGCCGCTTTTGCTGGCCATAGTGTTTTGTGGGTGGCTTGCAGCATTCACCACCAAAAACCACCAGCCATGTATTGTTAGAAGGATCATACCTTCTCAGAATGGACCCTCCTAGACCCGACTGGCTGGCCTTGTCTCATGTCTCAGTGGAGGAAACCCATCACCATACCTCCGATGGATCCGTAGGGCTCTTGGCTCCCCGAAACGGTTGGATTCCACCGGCTCTTAGGCAATGAACGCCCCACCGGGCTCGGCATCGTTCTTGGGGTTCTCAAGGCCGGGCTCCGAACCACCTCGCCCAGGCGGCGGAGCTTCGGCGGGCCTTTACCGCCATGGCCGCCGAGGCGCGCGGAAGCCGCCGCGGCGGCGCGGGTTCCGCCGCGGCGCTCCGGAGTGGGCTGGAGTCAACTTGTTGCTTTTTCAATGTACAGAGAACAAGGACGCTACTTTCTTTCTTTCACTTTCGCCAAGAGCGTCTCGCTTGTGACTAGTCAGTTAATTACTAATTGGCAGAGATCACTGCCGCTGCGTTGTAGTCGGGGCCCATGGGCGCATCCATATCGAATTGGGCCACCAACTTCTGTACAGCAGCTTCAAACCAGTCAGGAACTTCGGTGTTCCCTTCATCGGCCTGTGCATCTAAAAAGATCTGTGCAAGTGCTTTGCAAAGGGGACCGGGATATTGCTTCAGTCGGCTCGTGTTCCATACGCCTTGGGCGTTTTTCCCAATACTGGAGCCGACAGGGACCGCAGTCACTTTACCAGCACGAAGCAGATCTTCAGCGTGTGGTGCGTGTGCTACTAACAAATCCGTAGGTTTAACGGACGGAGCACCAAAACACCCCTGCATGATCCTCAATCTGTGACAGAATGGAAAACGTAAAAAGAGCTGTACGACATCCAACCTCCAAATGGAAGGCATCTCAGGGCGATCACTTGGTTCAGCCGGATGCTCTAGGATTGCAGTTGAGCCCGACAGTAGACAAACTAGAAAAAGCCGGAGAGCCACTCCTAGCAGCGAGTTGCCAGTCATGATCTGAGCAGAGTCCCTCTTCGTCAGGAACGGCAAACCCCAAGGCATTGACCGGCTGCGGAGTGGCCTCACACCAGTGGTTTCTGAGTCTACATATCGAGCTCTGCTCCAGGTCTCGCACGGGGGACCAGCGAGCATGCCTCGAAGCGCCCCTTCATGCAAAGCTCGCGCAAAAAGTGCAAATGTATCAGCTCTTAGTAGGTTCCCCCACTGTACATCGTAGATTATATCTACCGAAATTGCTCTTGCTCCAAGAAGTCCAATATAATGCTCAAAGTCGTCGGCTCTACGGTTACCTGCAAAAAGGTGGGCGAAGATGCGAGGCACATATCGCACCCTGGCAGGAATCAGAGTGCTTAATGACTCCATCTTATGGGCTTCATCAGCAAAAAAGGCAGCTACCTCGACATGGTCATGTTGGAGGGGTTCAGCATCTCCGATGAACCATTCACCACTGGCCTTGCGCAAATACAGCGCAAGAACCCTGAAGGTAGCAAGCGTTATGGACTCATCAGAAGAGACTGTCACCAGCCATTTTTTGAAGCATTCGATGAGCTCTTCGGGGTATAGAAATGTCTGCGGTCGCACCAATCTCAGCTTTTCAAGGATGTGGCCTGGTTCAAGCTGGTCAGCAAGGCATGCAGTCCAGTCCTGGCAGAGCTGTCTTTCCACATCCGTGCTCCTATCTCCAGTCACAGGCTCTGCAGGACACAACGGCCCTTGTGCTTGGACATGAGGGTCACGCAAAAGCTGTTTTGTGTGGTTGGACTTCTTACTATTGACACCTGGCTCTCGTGGTACAATTATTCCCCTGCTTTGGTAGAATCGAAAGCAATTTGTCTTCTTTTCAACATGATTGAGTAGGTCAGTATGGTGGGAGTACACCTTAAGACAAGCCTCACAAGCATTGCCTAGAACATATTGTCTGACAGTCCGGATTCTGTCATGCACTTTGAAAGCGTGCACAGCCAGATCTGCTCTTCTCTGAAAGAATCTGGAACAACAAATGCAATAATGTTCATGTCTGTGTTCCCTCACAGGCCGTGAAAAATCAATAGGAGACTCGTACAAAGTCTCCATGATCTGTCGGTGCCAGCGCGTCCAGGAACTGCGAACAGTCAGGTCAGAAATGTGACGGTCTTGTGCTCGCCGAACCCATCTTTTCCATCTCGATGGCTTGTCTTGGATGAGCGAGGCAAAGCTAACCCATGATTGTCGAAATTTAAAAAGGAGACCGATTTCTGGACAGTAGCAATCAAACCAAATTACGTCTGCCTCCAATTGTGAGCGCCAAAAGGCACTCTTCTGAAGCAAAGCCCATGTGTGAGGCTGTGCAGATCCCAGCAACTGCCCAAGATATCTAAGCCTTCCAAGCTTGAGCAAAGCCACAGGCTGTGGCAGTTGGACTTCTTCAAGCAGCTTCAGAGTGCTCCATTTGAAGACTTTGTTTCCATGGTGCATAGCCGCAAAACGTCTGTACAACCGGAAAAGCGCCCCTTCCAGTTGTCTTTGTTGTCGGCTATTCTTTGCCCTCCAGACAGCGGAATTATAGATGACAGTGCTGAGGACAAGACTGAGGAAATACTGCTTCTTCTTTTGAAAGTCCAACCCTCGATTACAGAAAAGCTGGGATCGATATCTTGTCAGCACATCATGCGCAATAGCAAATTTGCAATTGATGTCCTTTTGGATACCCGCGCCCACCTGTAGCCAGGTCCCTAGGTGCTTATATGCTCCCACCAGATGAAGCTCAAAAGGACCATAGCGTGAGTCCACGCGGAGTAGATTCTCCTGACTCAACAGGTCACGTCTGATGGCAAGTGAACCTGGCCCTCTCAGGTCCATCAGGATTTCGCTCTTGCCTTTCTTCAGGTTCGGAGTGAGACCCGCCGCCAAAAGATTCTCAAAAAGAACAGCTGTAACTCTTTGAATTTTGTGGATCAACATCTCAGGGGCACAATCCCTAACTGCAAAAGCCAGGTCATCTGCCCAGATCGGTGTCAACGGACCAAGGTCAACATGGAAGTCCCCTTCAGGGTAAATGGTCTTTTCACCATTCCACCAGATCCCCAAGTCATTGAACTCCATTTGCAGCTGGTCAAGTGCCCTTTGGACAAACTTCGTGAGGGCGAAGCTAAAGACCAAATCAGCGAAAGCATCTCCAGGCCTGCTCCCTTTCCTCGTCTGTGTCACAACATGGTCTCCTCGGATCATGAACCAGGTTGAGGTAAAAAATTCTCTGAAAAGAGCCTTGAGGTGTTGGGGTACCTCCGCTGCCTCCAGAGCATCAGGTTGTCGGAGCAGTTCCTGGAATTCACAGAAAGCTTGCAGTGGTAGTCCCAGACTACCAAAAAGCTCTCGGGCCCCTCGATCATCATCAGCAGGGGTCACCACATGCTGCCGCACCACTTTATAAAAGGCATTGCTGATATCAACAAACAATATAGCATAGGAGTCCCCCGATGCAATTGCCTCCTGCTGATAAAGGTGCAAAGAATGCACCGGTTGTACAATGCCTTGACCGGGCAGACCTCCCACTTGCAGTCCCAGACGATGTGCCGCGAAAGAATCCGCTAGATCGGATCTGTATATAGAGTGTAAGGCCTTAGCAATGACGCTGCTCACAAACAAGGAGCGGTAGTTGGTGACAAGGCACGGATTGCCCTTTTTGTGTGCTGCCACCAAATATCCTCCCTTGTAGAGGAGCGGTTCTTGGAGTCGAACGACCTCTTTGCAATACAGAGAATAGAAAAGTTCTGCCATTCGAACTGGCGCTTTCCGCAAGAGATCACCAGGAATGTTATCAGCGAAATAAGCTTTGCCTAGCGCTGTCTTCCGAAACTGGGATTCCACATGGTAGATCGACGGGATCTCAGACCATTCTGGCATGACAATGCCTGTCTCCACACTATGCTTTCTACTACTAAAAAGCTGTTCAAAGGTAGTCACAACTCCATCTTCTTGAGCACCAAAGTAACCCCTCCATAGCGCAGCAATGGCCTCCGCAGTCTCGACTGGCTGGCTGAGTTCATCATGCAGTATCGGCAGAGGCTTGATCCCAGTAGGCTTCTTGGGATTCACCACTCCAATTGCCCTAAGCGCATTTGCAAACTCTCTTGCAGACATAGTCGTGACCTGGCCCGCTAGGTTCGCAAGGCTGGCTGCCCTATCCCGCCTTAGGCATTTCCTCAGACTCTTTGTCAAAGCAGCTGAGAACCTTCGAGCTTTCTGAAAGCGTGTGACTACATCAAATCCCTGCAACATCAAGGCCTTTGCGTTAAAGCAGGTCTGGCCAGCAAGATGAGACCAAGCATTCCACAACGTGAGTTTGTGTGATCTCAGGAGCAATTCTCTAATGAACTTTCGGCAGAAGATCCGTGTTCTTCTGACTTCCCAAGCTTCTTGCGAGATGTAACTCTTTTTAATTCCTTGAGGAACCGCTGGAAAAGCATCACACAACCCTTGGAAGATCTGCTGAGATAACGACATAGCATGCCTATCAACATCACAATGCCACTCGGGAATGCAAACATGTTTCAGAGCAACTTGCATTTGTTCCGGCGTGGCCTTCTGAAGAGACTGTCGACAGAATCCAGATGCCTTTTTCACACTGGCTCGAACCTGGAAAGCCATACAAAAGGTGAGCGCCACCGGCAAATGATCGATTCCGTCTTTAACAATGTCTAAAGTATCAAAGACCCACGTGCCAAGCTTGGCCCGTCTCCAGGCTTGTGGCAAAGCAAAGTAGTCACAGCGCGACATCGTGTCGTGCGCACTATGAAACCAGGTCGCATGCTTGCCTGTGTGGATATCAGCAAAGGTCGATGGGAGGAAAAGCTCAAATCGGATGAGCAGCTCACGAAAAAGGCGTCCACCCAGGTTCTCTTTGCTTTCAAGACCTGCGTCGCCAATACATCCCTCGCACTCAGCATCAAAATGGGCATTGGCGTCAGTTCCAATGATGACATGTGGATATCGTGAGCAGAAGCTTGAGAGCAGAGAAGTCACCTCTGCCCAATAGTCCTCTACCTCCTGACTCGGTCTGCCAGAATGCGGGGCATGTAGGTTCACACAAAGAAGGTCAACCATTTGGTATGTAGCTTTGACAAAGAGCATCTGCGAGTTGGCATGTAATACCTGGATCTTAGCGTGGTCAAAGATTCTATGCTGTTTATGAGAGTGGGAACGCGCAAACCATAGCTCGAGGCCACCAACACCATTGACAGCTTCTGCAACCACACGCACATGCGACCCAGACAAAACCATCTGAGAACTTTTAGACCTTGTCTCTTGCAGAAACAGCAAATCCAGCCCATGTGACTCAGCTTGTTGCCTGAGATAGTGCACGAACCCTCCAGATCCTTTGCCAAGAGTCGCCACATTATAAGTAGCTGCAAAAAATCGCAATTGCTTCCTGCTGTCTTGGGTCTCAGGCACATTCAGAAGCTCAGGGGGCAACTTCTCTTCAAGGCATCCAGGAACATCGGGCAGATGATCACGGAGCAAGAGAACAGCTCGTCGGTCCCCTCCATTTGAGAGACCAGAGGTGGCATCCCACAACATCCAGAGATACTCCAACGGGAATCTTTTTCCAAAGAGAAAGGGCGAGTAATCCGGACATGTCCAAGAATGAAGGAAAGATTGCTCCCTGAAGGCACGTTTTGCAAAGATGTCCACAATCTCGTTTCCCAGGGTACCATTATGAGCTTTGACATGTTTCCAACGAGTCATGCCATGAGGGCGATGAAAAGCCTCAAAAGCTTTTGCCATAGCTCGCAAGGCCCGATGCTGCCGATCCCATGGAGCAACCCCATATACTCCAGAACTTGAGAATCCAGCCAGCTGGGAGTCAAAATAGAAAGTATACGTCGTCTGCAAATTATGCGAAAAGGCCCACTCAAGAGCTCTCAGAATGGCAGTCGCTTCCGCAGCTTTTGAGTCAGCTCGTTCAGCTCCTGTCCATCCCTCTTCAAGTGGGTCAATATCAACAATTCCCCAATCATAGCCCAAAATGTAGGATTCTTCTTCCCACAGTCCAATTGCCAGAAAGGCCCAGCCAGCTTTCTTCTCTTCCACAGTACAGGCAAACGATCCATCAGTATAAATGGAAACGTCCTCGACCTGGCCCGGTTCATCTAGAATCCAATCATCCAATTCTGCACGCAGCTCAGACGAAAGTTGTTGATGAACAAATTTCCAGTCAATGTCAACATGCTTTTTCTTTGCCAGAAGCAGAGAAAGCAGGGAGCTAAAATCAGGCAGCGGGAAATCATAATCAGCCAACTTCTCACCTTTCTCATCCCCAGATTTTGATGGGAAAGCTGACCGATCCAAAAGAAAGTCATTGAGCGCTATTTCTCTGCGAGGGAAATCGAGGACCAAGGTCCTATCTTTACAGAAAACAACCTCGTCCAGTGTGTTCAAATTCTTTGTGCGCCAGGAAACCAATTCCAATGGATTCCCCGGTGGCCGCAGTCCCCTGCAAGGATCACACCAGCAGTCCACCATGATCACACCGAGATTCGCACCCTGGCCAGCGCCACATGGACTATGATGCCAGCAGCACAGCATGTATCCCTGCAGGGGCCGTTGGTCAAAGACCCGTCCAAACCAAGAAGGGAGAGCATGGCATGTCCACATAGGCATCAGCACAACAACGTCCAAGAGGAAAGTCAGATCCCTGCTGGGGGAGACAGGGAAGCCCTTCTGCCATCCGAGATCTAATCCCAGAAGATCAGCTTCACCGCTATCCCCATGATCTCTGACCTTAAAAGGAAGGCTAAGCTGCAAAAACGAAGTCTGGTCAGCTAGCATATCCTCTGCAGCGAATACTTGCCTCGCATTCTCATACCTGCAGGTTTCTTGGACCACTTGTAGATCGATCCTCATCCCCACAATCGTCCTCCATGGGACTAGTCGGGGGAGCTCCTGCTGCTTATACGAGAGCACGCATCGAAATATCGCAGCGTAGCAAAAGCCAAAGAGACCCAACTGCCTCAACATGCTGGCAGTGGTCGTCATCGCTGGTAACAAGCCCAGAGTACGCCTTATTGAAAAAATTCAATAAATATCGCTTGTTTCAATACAGCCCACCAGTTTCAATAAAAACAAAACTTTTATTGAAATGTAAACCAATAAAGTTTGTTGAAATATACCAATAAGGCTTTATTGGTTTAGGTTTTCAAACCAATAAACTTTTTATTGGTTTAAACTTTCTAGTGAATAAGGTTTTTTTGAGTCTTTGTCTAAACTTTTTATTGGTTTAAACTTTCTAGTGAATAAGGTTATTTTTTTGTCTTTGTCTTGGTGCATGGAAGTGAAGTGAACCATATGCATCAGCAACTGTGCTTGGATCTTTTTCCACACCAAAGTCAGTGAGGCTGAGCCCTTGTGCAGGACCTATACTTAACTTGCAAAGCCCTTATGTGCAGGACCTAGTTGGAATCCTCCTCATCAGACATCAAATCCAAATTGCCACCAGTCAGCCTGAGGTGTAGTCCCAGCCTGAATCTCCAGCACACCTTCAAAGGCACCTGATGTGATGGTGTGCCACTTAAACACTGTTGTGCTAGGGCAGACATAAATCCAACCATTGTTTCGCCTTGGTAAGTTGCCACAAATCTGGGGTTAACCCACTCTGATTGTTCAGCTAAATGGGCACTGAGGTGATGCTTGTGGATCGTATTCCACTGGAGATACCCCTGCTCTATGCTCAAAGAACTCAGAGTTGTGTAGTGTACCAAGAACAAGTTCATGCTCTTCAGCAAGGACTTGTGGGCCTTTCGATCCATGTGCAAGCCCTGCTCATCAATGATTGTATACACCTTGTTCAGGTTGTAAAGGCAGGCCAGCTTGTGTTTGTTGTAAGCATCTGTAGCCTTGCCAAGTTCAGTCACACATATTTCATAGAGCACAGGAAGCAACCACCGAAGCTGTTTGGCTTTGATTCCACTCATGTCTGGAAAGACCTCATACTTCGACTTTGGGTTGGTGAAGCTTGAGAGGACAAGTCTCTTGATCCTGTGGGAAGCTTCAATGCTCTGTTCCAAGTACTGTTGACACACCTTGTCAAATAGAGATTTCAGCTTTTGGTCCACTGTCCCTGGCCATCCAGGTTTGCAGATGAAATCGAATACAACATTTCCAAGAGTGTGGGAGATTACTCCCTCATCCATGACATGAAGTGTATCCAAGGCAAAGGTGTCACCGGTGACCCCATTGACTTCTCCCAGCTGGTGAGAAGTGGGGCACTTGCCCTTGTGAAGAACTTTGGTCTTCCTCCATGCTGCACATGGCCTGAAGTCATTGAATGGGACAGTTGACTTGTTTGCCCCACACATCCAGCAGCAAGCATTGTGAGCATGGCCAGGAAGTCCTAGCTCATTCATTTGATACTCTCCATCACATGAAACAGCAAAGAGCCAGCCACACTTGCCCTGGGTGTTCAAAGCAGTGCCAGCCTTGAGAGCTCTTGGGCTGTTTGCAGGCCATGGTTGGCCAAGATGGTCCACTTCTGGGTGTTTTCCAAAGAACATGTGGTTCAGTGACCACTTGAAGATAGACCATACTTGGGCCATGGTATCATCATGAGCTGCGCTGCTTTTGTGGCAACACTGCTTGGGAATTGCTATGAGCAAAAGTTGAGAGGAAGCAACATTTGCTTTGCTAAGCAAAGAGCGCAAGCTGATCACATGGATTGAGTCACCCCTGTGAAATTGGCCACCATCACCATGGAGTACCATGGGCAAGAAATGATGCCTCCCTTCCTTCACGATGGGGTTGCCAGCCAACTTGGGATCATCAGCACTGTGCTCCTCCCAAAAGGCTTCCAGGTGAGCAAAGCCTGAGGCTTCCTTATGGTTCTCCAGCCAGCTGAACCACTCATGGGGAAGGAACATGCCAAGTGGCTTGCTGGTCATGTACCAGCCTTCAGAGCTCCTAGCTTGGTTTGGAAGCTCGACAATGTAAGGCTGTGGCACACCAAGCTCATCAGACTCACAGAACCTCCTGGTCATTTGGGTGGCCACATGGTTCTCAGACCTGCCATAGTTTCCCATGCTTGCTATTTCCTGTACATCTTGGGCCACCACACCACTCTTTGTAGCAGCCAAAGCAATGCTTTGGATGGCTGGCCCCTTGGAGGAGTAAACAAGACAAAAAGAACCAGTTAGCACAAACATGCAATCTGCAGGCAAGGAACAGACACACCATTGGCAAATTGCTCCAATAGGGAGAAACCAAGTGGTGAGAGCTCTTCCTGACACTTCTCTGGTTCAGGGTCATGTCCCCTTTTCCTTTTCCATTTTGCCATGACTCACTGGAGCCATTGTGCAGGGCCCTGCATTGAGAAAGAGCCCTTGCTCAGGACCCAGATGGAATGCAAAAGCAATTGAAAAAGGGCTACCCAATCAAAGGTAAACTTGATGCACATACAGTGAAAGCACATGCCCAACCCTGGAGGTTTGCCAGTGACTGCCAGTGAGCTTTTTGCCACGCAAGCCACTTGAGTTTTCAGCCCTTGTGCAGGACCCTTCTTTACACATCCCTTGCTCAGGAATCCTCTCCCTGCAGCCTTTTGGCCTTTTTGATGGCAAGTGCACAGTCAAACAGCTTCTTCTTGGCCACCTCTGCAGATGCCTTCTTCTTCAGAAGTGCCTTGAGTGCTGACTCAGGCTCCCTGAGGCAAGCATCATGGCTGCTGCCAACTTCTTTCCTCACCTTTTGCAGGAGCTTCAGCATCTTGGACACCCTGACTTTGCATTCCTGGAATGCAGGTGTGCCTCCCATGTCACTGAGCACATCTGCCTCCACCTCATCAGCATCCTGCTTCTTCTTCTTCTTGGAGCTTGCTGGCTTTGCTGGGCTCTCATCTTCACTTTCTTTTGCATTGCCATCTTCGATGGCCAAAGCTGCCTTGCCCTTCCTGCCACACACAGCCTCCAAGGCCTCTGTGGCATTACCTTCTTGTGTCCCAACACCAGCAGCAGCTTTGAGCTTCATCCAAGAGACAGCTTCCTGCTTTCCAACTTGGTGCCCTTTGTGCTCATGCTTGGTTTCAGTCTGCTCCCATTTTTGCTCCTTCTTCAAGCAGAACTGCCACTCAGAAGTGTCCTCTGGATCCCTCCTGCATACAATGCTACCCTTGTTCACCTCAGATGCAGAAAGGGATACTTGGTGCATGAATAGGAAAGTCAGCAGCAAGTGCTAGGACTGTGACCCTGCGCATTGCTTCCTGAAGCCCAAAGCGGAGCAGTATGGTCTGGAAAGGCACCCATGACTCAGAAGTCTTGGAGCCTTAGTGGGGCAATTGTCAAAACAGTGGTGGCCAAACAAGCAAAAGTTGATCAAAAGCATATGTGTCCAAGAGACCTGTGCTTTTGCTCAAAGTCACCATCTCCTTTTGCCAGGCTTGGCTGTTCTTCAGGTCCCCTTGGGCATTCAGAAACACACCAAGCAACCTCTTTTTGAGAGGGTCTGACTTGGGACCTTTGCACTGGGATTCCCAGATGTTAGTAACAACTGGGTCCTTGAGCCCATCTCTGGCCCTGGAGAAGCGCTGCCACAAAGTTTCTCTTTGTCCCTTGGTCAAGGTGTCCAGCCAGTTGGCAACATTCTGTTGCTTGCTCCTCACAAACAACTCCATCTTGTCCTCCAAACTCATTTCCTCATCCTTGTTGGGGACTGGAGGGTTGCCTGAAGGCTTCTTGGTCACCTTTTTCATGGCCACCTTCATCACCTTCTTGGGTGCCATAGCCCTTGCACAGGACCAAGCCTTGTACACAACTTGGGGAAGCCCTTGCTCAGGACCCACACTCAAAATCAATGATTGCAAATTTGCTGTGAGCCAAACTCCTTCACCAGCAGAGTATGTGGGTCAAACAGCAAACCATCACATGACATCATGTGATGTCATGTGATGCCAGGCCAACAGATTATGATGTCATATCCTTGGTTTTGCCATCATATGATGGTACCCCACCATCACATGACATCATGTGATGTCATGTGATGGTCTTTGGTTTCAAACCTGAAAAACTGTTGGCTCAACTTTTTTGCTCACCATGAAAAAACTATGTGCCTCTACCTGGGCCCTTGTGCAAGACCCCCAGTGCCAAAAGCAGCACTTGCAGCTAAGGCTGGTGCATGTCCTAGCCCTTGCTCAGGGCCAAATCTTCTGCCAAGTGGTGACCTTCCCCAGGACATTGTTTTGGGAGCCCTTGAGGTCTAACCCTTGAGCCAAATGAGTTTTGTCAGTTCACTGTGTGATCAAGTTGGCGCACAGTGTTTGACACTTCTTGGGCTGCACATGTTAGATTGCACTTTTTCCCCAGCAGTTCTGCCAAAGCCCTTGTTCAGGACCTAGTTGAGAGCAACCCTGGCTCAGGGAGTTTTCTTCTTCTTCTTCCCCCCCTTCACCTGCCACTCAGACCCAGCAGAACCAGAGGGCTTTCCTCCTGGCAGGTGGGTGAACTGAAGTGGGCTCAAGTGAGTTCAACTGAACTCCATTGAACTCAGTGAGTTGGGGTGAACTGAACTGGCCTCCACTTCCAGGGCCCTTGCCATCTTTTCCATGTCCTGCAGGAAAGCTGGGCTCAACAACTGCCCTGTCAAAAGGAACACAGTCCTGGAGCACCCTTGCCACCTTTGGCTTTTGCTTTGGCACCTGATCAACAACAAACAAATTGTCTTACTTGAACAAAGAAACAGGTGTGCTTCCCACCTCTGACCACCTCAGCATCTGTCTTTTTGCCTTTCTTGCCTAATAACACTTCAAAAGATTGCACTTCTAAAAGAAAAAACAAAATCAAGCAAGCAGAGCTCCTCCTTTGGGACTGGAGGACTCAGAGCTGGAGCTGCTGCTGGTGTAGTCCTCTTCAGTGTTTGGGCTCTTCTGGTGGGCCTTGGAGGTGTCGCCCTTGGAGTTGGTAGCCTCTGCCTCCTTTGGTTTCACCTCAGTTTGCCATGGCTGTGGCTGTGGGTACTGCCCCCAAGACCATTGGGCTTGCTGCCAGGCCTGCCAGTTTTGCCATGCCTGTTGCTGTTGCATCATTTGCATTGCCTGCATGGCCTGAGCATGCTGTTCTTTCAAGGCATTCATCTCATCCATGAGTTTCTGATCTCTCTCATCTTCCCTCCTCCTCAGTCTCCTCACCCTGCTCTCCCCCAGTGCGTGGCATCTGAGCTGGTTCCACCACCTTGGTGAGAAAGCCACTTCCACTTGCTCCTTTCTTTGGCACTGCCAGACTTGTTTTCCCATGGCTTCTTTTGCCACTTCTCTCTTTTGTCTTCTTTCTTGTCAGAAGACTCTTCCTCCCAGTCCTCCTCCCATTCATCTTCAGACACCCAGTCTGCCCAGCTCTTCTGCTTTCTCCCCCACCTGTCATCATTTGATCTCCAAGGGGATGGGGACCAGTCTGGGCTCCTGTCACCCCACTTTGACATGAGCCCTTGTGCAGGACCCAAGAGTTAGAAGCCCTTGCACAGGACCTCAAAGGTTGCAGAAGCCCTTGCACAGGACCTTGAGCAGGGCCCCTTTGGGCTGCAGCTTGCAGGTTCCAAAAACCTATGCTAGCCAATCCAAGATTGGCTTGAACCTAAAGATACAGAGCAGCAATGGCAGCAGGTGGAGGAAACCTTTGCAACTTGCTGCAAAGTTGAAGCCTGAAAAACACACAAGCATTGTTCCAGGCAAAAATTGGCTTGAGGCAGGCTGCTGAACTTTGTCAAAAAGCCCTTGTGCAGGACCTAGGATGAAGATCCCATGAAAAGTTTTCACTTCTTAGCATGCTTCTTGAAGAGCTCCTCCCTGAATTCCAGCACTGACTGCTTGCTGGCACCTGGCTTTTTGCAAGCCTCCATGAGCATCATGACCAGCTGCTTGTGAGATTTTGTAGTGTGACTGGCTTGTTTCTGTGTGACAGCAGCAACTAGCCTTTTGTTTTTGTTTGGAGGAGGAACATGCTGGATGTAGGACTGTACTCTTCCTCCTCCAGTACACAGAGATGGTTGGTGAATCTTGACAATGCCCTTTGCATCCTTACAATCCCTTTTGCAGGGACCAGCCTTTGCCTTTGCCTTTCCAGAGGCTGGCTTTTTTGTTGCAGGCTTGCCAGCTGCATCCTTCCAATCCTTTTTAAGCACTGGAGGTGGCTCCCTCAATGCAGCAGCTTCATCGATGCTGCAGCAAGGTTCATCTGAAGTTTCATCTTCCCCATGTACCAACTCCAAGGAGGTTTCCTCCTCCTGCAACATTGTGGGGAAGCCTTCTGAGTCCATGGTCACATCTGATTTGTGTTCCTTCAAAACCTTCTTGCTACAAGTAGCAGGAGCACTTGTGGTCATTTTCCTCAATCTTGTCAGTACATTGGCCTGGGCATGGCTGAGCTTGCTGATGAACTTGGACCATTGTGTGTCTGAAGCCACACACCGCCTCCAATGGTTCAGCAGAACTGTGATGCTGTCAGCAGCCCTCCCAGTCAGAAGGTGCTTCTCCAGTGTCCAATGCTGGGACAGCAGCTCATGGCCATATTTTTGCACCATAGATTCCAAAGCATCCCTCAAGTTCCTGTACTTGATCTGGGAGGTGGGGCTTGCTGTCAACAAGGCCTCCAGCAACCCATGGAGCTTGAAGATTGCAGATGGCACATGTGCCTGCTGGCTTTGTAAATTGTTGTACTCGAACATGTTGAAAGACTGTGCCACCCCAAGAGATCTTATGTAATCATCCAACTTGTCCTCCAGCTTGGTCTGGTCGACCTCTGGAAAGCCTTGTCTCTTTTTGGGTGCTTTGTTACCTGCTCCCAATTTCCTTTTTCTGGCCTGTTTCATCAAAGACATGGCCCTTGTGCAGGACCTTAGCCCTTGTTCAGGGCCTATACTGCAGAGCTGTCCTTTCTCAGGACAACAATTTCTACTCCAGTGAGCCTCAGCTTCAGAGTGGGCCACAGAGTGACTACTGCAATGACATGCCAGTGGAAGTTGCACTGAAGAAGTGAAGCGCATTTGTATGTTTTTTCACAGCAGTGCACAGAGCTTTTGCACAAAGCCCATGTGGTGACCCACTCACTGGGTTGGGCCATCCCACCTAGACCAAAGGTGCCACCCATGCCTTTCAAAAGACTGCCTCCAAGGGGTACTGCACAGGTAGCACCTGTCACCCCAGCAAGGGTCCCCAACCTTCCTGGCCCACACCCAACCCTTGCAATTGCAGCACTGCAGGTAGGAGTTGAAGAAGAAGTTCCTGGAAACAGTGCCAGACCAAAGGCTTTGAAACATTGGAAGTGCAAATGCAAAAGCCAGGCATGCATGTGC